AATTTATAAATTGTCTAGGCCAAAAAGAGTGCTTTCTTCTAGAAATTCTCTGGTTGAAATTGACTCATCCAGTGAACAAATTCCATGTTTGAAAAGATGCTGTAACATCACTCAAAATAATTAAGATGACATATTCTTATATTTAATGGTGCAACTATAATCAGTCAGTTTATAAAAGTTGTCCGATGAGCACCCTGGCTCATGCCCCACTCCCATCGACATACAAGCAATGCAAAAATATCAAAAGTACTAATTTATTTATACGATTGTCTTCTAAAAGAGCTCCTCCAACCCTTCACGTCTGTCTAGCCGTTTCAAGAATAAAAAATCCGAATAAAAAGTAAATAGAATGGGTTCGTATATTTTTTCTTAAAAAAAAAAAAAGAAAATCAACCCACCGCTACCTTTCTGCTTAGCTAAGTAATCACCGGTGGGTTAGGCACCACAGTGAAAAGTTGAAAAGAGGTTGGATGTCAATGTGAGTTGCACTAACATTTTTCCGTTCAAAAGTCATATTCTAAAAGCTTGCTTTTCCAAAATCTACTTTAAAGGAATCAATTCCTCAATTTTATATGCCACAAAATTCATAATACTCATGGTTCATTCACCTCATAAAATATTAAAGTAGCAACATAGTAGACACAGGTTACCACTTACATTTTATTGGGAAGGAGGTTAGAAAATTTTGAGGTCCATTTTTTTCCTCAAATAACCAATAGGAAATGGAACTCTATAACCAACACCTACAGAGAGTATCGTCTATACTTTTGAATCTCTACGAATCTATTTTAATGACTGAAGTTCGCTACCCAAAATTCAAGTATAAATCGGTAGAAGTGTGTGATACTGATACTGATACGTTATCCTACCGCAACCAATAGGAAGTTAAAAAACTACGAGCAGAAAAAACATTTGTAACTTTCATGGACCTTGTATATAAATAGAAGTAAGTTTGCTGGGAGACTGGCTTCAGTTAACAATGATAATAAATTATCTTGAGCCGCATGAAAGTCTAACTAAAGGAAATGGCATAAATATAGGATTAATACCACAGACACGGAGGTAATAATGTCATATAACATGATCCCAGCATCAGCTAGAGCAAGACTGGCACATGTCGTGATCACTGGGAGATCGCCTGCAGAAAATAATTCAGGCCTCTTAGGAACACAACACTCATTAGGGTATTATTGATATTCAGCTAGACATTGGCTATAGTAAAATTCAATCTTCAAAAACTTTATTTTTCCTTTCGTTTTTAAGAGGGGTTGGTGCATACGGTAAGTTGTTCTGCTCAAAAGAGAAACAAAAAAATCATAACAAGAATCACGGTGGTTGTTCACATTTGCTATTTATATCAACTACCCAGTTCACAGGTTTGATCCACAAAATTTTCACAATTAAATAACAAAAGCTATTATTTTATTTCAAATACATTACTATCAACTGAATAAACAAGTGGTGTCTCAAATAGAACCCCAAGTCATACTTACTTCCTCCGGACTCCAATACCAAAGCAAATACATCAACAGTCGTCTTAGGGAAAGATTTCAGTATAATGGCACCTTCCAACGCCTTGTGGAGCATTGAGGAAAGGTCCTTAGTTTCTGGAGCCTGAAAAGACCCAGTATAAAAAACTCAGACACACACTACTATTGTAGTGTCACACAGGAAAAGATAAAAGTGAAGAACAGAATAAACTAAGGAAGAAGATTAACCTGCCCGCGAACTGGAGTGGAAAAAGTTGTATAACTAACATTACAATTCAACCTCCCTGTGTCACTATACATCATTGCTTTTTTACTTTCCCTAGGACCAAATCTGAGTAACAAATCAATTGTGTAAATCAGCATAAATATATCACGGAAGATAAAATGTAGAAGAATTATCTAAAAAATCTAACACACTTAATTTTGATCTGTTACAGCACTTGAGCCCATACTAATTCCAAATGTCTCAATGGGTAATCGACACCATACCTCCCAAATTTGACCAATTTTGCCACATTTCCCTCATAATTTCAGGGCACGTCACAAGAAATGTTTACTAGATCCCTTTAAGGCAACATAACTAAACTAAGGAGATAATACGGGCAAAAAATGATATACTGCTTCTTTTCTAGTGAAAAAGGCAACACGTCATGTCAGCAGCAAAATGAAGGAATCAGTCCAAAGAAGCCAAGTAACACGTGAAACTTAAACTAATTCATGCAACTAATAAATAGATAACATATAAAAATGGATACATATGTGTGATGGGTGTTTTCAATATCTTTTTTCCATTTTCCAACTGTTCATCAAATCATAATCATGCTTGCTTCCTAATTTTTTCATAGGAAATCGTCAATTTCAATTTTCATGTCTACATCAAAATATTTTAAATCAGTCCGTGAATTTCATCTCACTGTTTAGGTGTGGAGCCAACTACTTCAACACTATCTACTAAATAAAGATGCACTACCTACATTCTTATTCATATTAACACATTCTAATACTAAAGTATTGAAAGTGGGATCCCCATTAACCACATTAATATTACTGTATATAAAAATTGTTGTTTCAAATTACTCAATACTCATGAAAAGGTTTTTCTCATTTTTTGTCCTTTCAATGGAAACTTCCAAACCACATTAATGTTCATGAAGAATCAAGAATCCAAGCAAAAATAAAATTAGGCACAGTCAAATAATATTGTAAGTGAAAAAAAAAAAAAAGAAAAAAAAAGTAACTTTAAACAAACAAGCATTCCCAGGAGTTGTGGGTGCAGCAATTTAAAGTACTACTGTTGTACCTACTACTAGATCTAAAACATGTACTTACACAGATACAATGACCTTGGTGTTTCCAAACTCTGCGTAAGCAGACCCTGATGCAGAATTCACCGCCCCAGTCCTCAGAACTACAAGAACCCCACAAAAGTGATTACCATCAAGTCTTGCAATAACAGTATCGTGTCAACTGCAAATATCAAGCATTGATATCCGCATACAGAAATCAATAATAATTCCATAAAAGAAAAAAGAAAGAATAGAAAAAAAAAAGAGTATCTCAAGGATCCTATGAACTTATGCTTTAGGCTATGTTTGGTAAACCTAGTTGATAGTTTGTACGTGAATTTCGAGCTTATAGCTAGTAGTTTATGGCTGATGGCCGAAAAGCTAGTTAATATGGTAAAATTAGCCAACAAGTCAGCTGAAACAAAAATTTCAACGGGCTTATTTGAAAAGCTACCCAAAGAATCTTATGAGATAAGCTCGAATTTTTAAAAAAGCTCATCCTATCAAACCAAACTTATTATAATACACGAAGCTTATAAGTTAACCAAATAAGTTATAAGCTAGCTATGATGCTTACCACACACACTAGAGTGGCATACCATCAAGAACAACACTAGAGCTTCACTACTGGGTACTATGTCCACCCTAGCTACAATCTCAAGCTCAATCAACTCAACTATTATCTAATAAGTCAAATGAAAAATACCGTGGTATCAATTTGATGAAGCAAAAGGTCAACTGAATGTATGCATTAAACTAAACAAGGATGGGTAACATGAAACCAATATCCATGTTTTTGCTAACTTGGACTCCCAAAAACCACAGCAACAGGATCTTGCAAACATTACATCAATGGCATCAGTTCTTAGTATGATAGTATCTCAATCATGAAACTGATCAGGAAGATTCTCCAGCGAATGATAGTGGTAATTCCAAGTTAGCTGTCATAGGATATACCATTTTTATGTTGTGGTGATTAAAGTTGAACAGCAAGGTATTGATGGTTTTGATACAAATACTATTACCGACTTCTTAGGAAACAACACAGGGGACAACTTTCCACCCATTAAAAGATAACTTGTTGCAGTTATTCACTTAGATGGTCACAATTAGATCTATCAAGTGGCAGCCATATCCCATCCGAACAAACCCATTAATTCGGTAGCAGAAATTACATGATGGGACCGATATGATGTTTGCAACTTTTTTTACGCCCATATGTATAATTATGTTCTCTTTGGCCAACTGTAACAAGGTTCTAACATCAACATTCCCCTCCTAATCTTTCCAAAGAAGTTGTTTTGATAAATTACATACGATGGTATTACGTAACCACCATAATAGTTTGGAAACTAAATTTCCAATAAGCAACATGATTATTTTTCCAACTTATGCTTATATTCTATTTTACAGAATCCTAATTCATGATTCTTCTAGTGTTTTTCACCAACTTGCTCCAAACTACAGAACAAGAAAGAGAAAGATGAGCAAATGGCTATTGGCTCATAGCCAGCAGTGACAAAGATGAGCAAATGGCTCCCATAGTTGCAACAGCAGCGTTTGTATCAGCTACTTCAATGAGGATAAAAGGTTATAAAACAATTTCCCAAAACGTAAAGAGCAGGATGAATTGCCAGCGATAGTTCATATGAATTAACAAAGTACAGCAACAAAGATTATGAATAATGAAGATAAAATATTTTCATAGCGACGTTCCTCAAAGAAGGGCCTTAAAAAGCAAATGGGACGCGCCGCTTAATAGTTTTGCTAAAGAATTCCAAATTCACGAATAAACAAAAGGAGGCACACGCAAGGAAAATAAGAAAAGAAGAATGAAAAAGAGAATACGAACAGGCAGGGCGGCACTGGTGGAGGCTGCGGCCGTCAGGTCGGACCCAATCCGAGCCGGTGATTACGGGAGGCCTTTTCCTCCTCTGACCGGTCAGAGACGGCGAATATGTTTCCGGTGTCGAAGTTGATTTTCCGGCCATCTAACCTAGTTCAACAGAGCCGGCTGCGGGTGCGGAGTAAGACAGCAAGTGAGATGGAGGTTGCTGTCGACAAGCCAACAAGGGTCGCCTCAATTTTTAACTACACCGGTAAATCAACTCTACTATTCATTATAATTAAATAATATCAACTAATTATTTTTATAAATTACATTAATTTTAATTTTTTTTTTTGGTACAGAAAGAGAGGCGAAAGCTACTAGACTAACACTCTACGGGGATATGAGACCCCTATATTATCGTGACCAATCCATGGGCCGATTTCGGCCGGCGGGAGTTCCAGACGATGAAGACCAAGTGGATACGAATCCGCTAAGCTCGCCAAACAATCAGCTGCAAAGTTCGCTTCTCTATATATATGGTTGAGATGAACATTCCAATTCCTTTGAAGCAGCTCTCGAATAGCTCGAATCAGGGCATCATGGGGTCCAAAGACATCCTCAGAATCGCACACCATAGTCTTCACGCATAGACTATCAACCTCAGCCATGACTTGCCTATACCCCATCTCCCAAGCCATCAAAAGACCCTGAAACAGACCCCAAAGTTCAGCACCTGTAATCGTGCAAAATCCTATTTTGAAAAGGAAGCCCGCAACCCATGTGCCATTCTCATCCCGGATTAGTCCTCCCGCACAGCTCAGTCCGGTAGCATTGGAGATTGCACCATCAGAATTCA